TCAGCCTTTGCTGCTTCCTGCAGCTCAACTCCTGGCCCACACTTCTTGCAACAACTCCACATTAATTCTGTCAGTCCTAGCAAGTTCTCTAGAGTGCTCTGGTTGTTTTCTGCCACCATTAGGTGTTGACTCAATTCCTCGTTAATTTCTCTATCTGGTTTCTCATGTACTGTTCCTGCCACCACCTTTCTCTGCACCATCCTCAGAGGTATACAGATAGTCTGTAACAAATTAACTATCCAGGGAGGAGGCTAATGGGTCAGTTGCAGAAAACTTGCTCAAAATCCATTAAAATGTAGCATAAAGAAGTTTACATTCCTAACATGTTATAGTGGCGGAGGCCAAAAATAGCTTATTCTTGGCCCCTGTCCAGACCAGAAGAACTGGCCTGCTAGCCATTTTATAAGTGGTGATTATGCCTAAGAAATCATCATTTGATGTAACTAAGACAAGTTTGCCAAATGCCATTTTGCCTCTAGCTTCCTCTTTTGGGGGAAGGTAACCCAGAAGATTGTGCTAGGGTAACTCTGGGTTCATCTAGAACAGTAGTTCCCAAACTTTAACAACCTGTGAACCCCTTTCACTAAAATGTCAAGTCTCACAAACCCCCTCCTAAAAATGAATATTTCCAGGGATTTTCTCCTTTACCTGAGTATAAATTATAAAAGCAGTGATCTTGGAAATATAAAATTTGTTTTTATGACATGCTTATTACACACTATTATTAATTATTATTTAGCAATGCAGTATTTTTATTACATTATGAAAACGGCAACACTCTTCCAAGATCTGACTTTTGTAGCTTGTATCACTTTGAATAAGCCTGTTATAAGACAAGGCTCCTATGTTTCATCAAGGAGTATCAGATGTGAAACAGCATGAAAGTATTTAAGAAGCCAACTCAAAGAGTTCCTCCTACACAAGCATCCAGGTCTTGAGCAGTCCAGGCAAACAATGCACGTTACAACAAAGCTTCAACTTGTTCTTCATAATAATTTTAAAAACAATACTAGCTGCCTATTTAATTTTAAAAACAGCAAAAAATATCCACCTCCCTTTCCATTTCTTATAAGGAGTCTTGAAGTTTAAATCTCCTGAGTGTGATAGAGATGCTTGCTTTGATCTGCTTAGCTCTTGGAAGTCCAGGGGCTCCGTGCTGCTGGCGCCATGCTGCCCGGGGTCCCTAGGAACAGCTCTGTCCGCCATTAGGGAATTTTTTCCTGAGAACCTCCTGTAACATTTTGCGAACCCCCAGGGGTTCACGAACACCAGTTTGGGAACCACTGATCTAGAACCATCTGACTTCCTGAATCCCTGTCAGTCTAGTTCCAGTCCTAGAAACTGAGTTAACAACCTTGGCTGATAGTTACTAGTGAAGAATGAATGCCAAGTGTCTGTTCATTTTATTGGAGCTATCAGTAGTCTTTACTATGATGTTGCTGATTTGTCTGTGTGATTTGTTGTGGGTGGATGATTTTGTTGCCCAGTTCCACACTTTCCTTTCTGAAAGGTCTCAGAGTTCTCTTGGCTCATCTTATACAGAGTCCAGTAGGGTTCCATTCTGCCACCCCTCTGGACCACCCATCTGTCTTTCAGGTGCTCCTCGGGTGCCCATACTAGAACAGCAGCTCTGATACCCTTGAAGAGGATGCAGCATACTCTCCTGCCCAGTGCCCAGCCAGCTCTCTGCCCTGGCAGACAGCTAGCACCTGTGAGAGTATTAGCCTGGAGCAGGAGCTATGCTCCAACATGATTCTAGCTAGCTCCTGCACAAGGGTGAAGGGGTGACAGAAGAAACTCCATACACACCCGCCCGCTGCACACCCACTCAGAGGCTGACCAGCATCTGTCCCAGTGCACTCACAGCTCACCTTTCTGTGCATATCGTTTAAATGCAACTTGTGTGCGGTTCTGGAGGCAACTGGTCCCACCAATTCAAAAGGAAAAATCAAATGAATGCTGCTGAATCAAATTAAATATTCAAATGAAAGCAATAATTACTCAAATGCATCTTGAGACTGAGTGAGACGGATTCTGTGAAACACCGGTTTTGGCCCTAAAGCTATAATGGAAACACCAGTCTCTAATTATTAAATAAAAAAGCCTAGGCTTGGGTTATCAGTAATTGTAAGGTTTAAATGAAAAGAAATGAGCAATCTGGCTAATATGCAGTCCCAGTACTCCACCTCTACCCTGCCAATGTCTTGGGTAACTCAGCACCAACATCGACCAATTTAAACTTGTAAAAATTCAAAACCAAGCATTTAAATTCAGACAAGGTATACTGAAGAGAGACTTAGCAGATTTCTGGTCTCATTATAATCTGTTAATTACTATGGTAACATAAGATTCTAACAGTCAGCACAACCAGGACTCTAGTCAAGCTTAGGTATGCATAATAGATGCCTTATAGCCTTGAAATCCAGAAAATATGGGCAGAGTATCAAGCGTCACAATTATATGTCCCCTGTTCATATTCCTTATGAATTCCTGGAAGAAAAAGCTGACAGTTGAATTCTTTCAGAAGGTTTCTTTTATTGAATGTATTCTTACAATAGCCTGACTTATTCACATGCCAGGTTCATGAGTCATGATCTCGGGGACAAGAGAGGGCAGGGGGTGCTTCTAAACTCACTGAATTCACAGCTCTCCCACCAAGAAGTTATTTAAACATAAAATTATTCTAGGAACTTCTTGTAGCCGCTGCCATCAAAAAGAACTCAAGTTGCCACACAAAACATCTTTGTGTGGTGCTTTCCCAAGAAGGAGCAGAGAAATGTAGCTGTTTGCTGTACTTTGGCAAGAGCAAAATGGTGATACTTAGAATGAAATAATTGAAATCAGAGATGCACAAGATCTATTAAGATTGTTCCCTGCAATCTACTTTCTAGTGTTCTGTCGCATTTTAACCCGCAATGGAGTTCCTCTTCCTCTACTTACTTTGAGAGACCATTCCACAGTATTACTGATCTCGCTCTCAGGAAATCTGCCCTAATTGTTAACCTACATCTTCCTTTTCTTAATTCCTCTCCGTCCTTGGTGTTTGCATACTGCAAATATTCGTAGAATAATTGAAGGAATTTTTATATTTCATTGGAAGAAAATATGTACTAAACATAGTAATAGCCATGAATATTTGAATTACGAAATTCATTTCAAGACAGGATAATGTTTTCAGAGGGTAGACTGGGGTATCCAGGCCAAGAGACTATTTTTGGCAATCTATGATGTTCAGGGCAATATGTTGCATCCCAAGGTCAAAACGTTTGCAGAAGTTCCTAAGTAGTTTTATGAGCCAAGGACAAACATCTCTCGGGGAGGGATGGTTTGGCTGTAGACCTGGTTACAATATTTGTGCAAAATGAAGAAACATTCTAGTTTTGTCCTTACCCCCATGGACAAGAAGAGACTGATAAGTACGCCAGAGTCCTTTAGAGAGGGACTACTGCCAGGGAATTACAAACTCCACTAAGTGCAGGTCATGAAAGGATTCCCAGAGTGACCCCACTGATTTGCTTGAAGGAGTTGGAAGTGACGAAGTCCCTGCACATTTATTTGGACATTTGAGTTCAATGTACTTGAGCAGCCAATGGCATTTCTCCATGATTGGCCCCTTAATACCTCTCAGATGTAAACCATGAATTCCTCCCTCACAGTAAACCATGAATTCCTCCCTCCACACACACATGTAGCTAAAACGTTCATTGACTTTTTTGCTGCCATATGCCAAATTCACATCTAACCTGCTGTCTTCTGTCACCCCTCGGTCTCTTGATGTAACTGCTTCTAATTTCTCTTCAAAGATTCTGCTTTCAAAAAGAGTTTTTCCTTTTGATGATATGTGTGATGTTCCATGGGAAAATATCAATAGTAAAGATTTAAGGAGTCCCATGCTGTATCACACTTACATGAAGCAATACAAGAATATACACACCAGCATCCGGCAAATATGCAAGGATTGCTCCCAGTAAGCCTGCTCTCTACATTTAGAGACAATAGATGAGATCGAATGTAAAGGAACTGAGATCCATTGACAATTACTTACCCAATTCAAACTGGTTGGAAAGGTTGCCACAGGTCTGTCTAACTTCTTCACTGTCCCAACCCAAAGGATAGAGAGCACAGCCAGAGCCAATCAACAAGCCTGCAGAAAGAAAGGAAAACAAGACTTAATACAACCCGCGACCATTACCATAATTAAGGCCTGCAGGTAAAATCAGTACTTGGAATTACATGAAAGGGTCACATTAACTTCTTATCATGAGGCACCTATGCTGGGAGCATTGGCAAAGCATGCATCACTTTCTCTACTACTCCTTCTATTGTGGGTATGTCTACACAGTAATGTAAGCCTAGGGTTAGTGGGACCCGAGTCAGCTAACCCATATCTGGGAACCTTGAGGGTCTACACTGCCTTTTAACCCTAGATACGGATTTTTTGACCAATGCTTGAACCTTGGGCTCTGATGTCCACATACAGTGCACAGACCCGAGTCAAAGTAACTCTATGTCAGAGTGCCTAGCGCCCCTGCCTCCTCCGGTGATGACACTCTAGCCCTATGAATGTGTTGCACTGTGGGAAAACTCTACTGCTCACACTCTTTCCTAACTGTGACGGTGCTATTGATGGGACTCCGGTACCCATGCAGAGCAGAGCATGGGTACATAAACTGCATAATTAGCTCCTTTGGTGGCTGTCTCAGTAGGTTGACTGCAGTTTGAGAAGGCTTTATACCAGGGGTGGGCAAACTTTTTGGCCCGAGGGCCACATCTGGGTATGGAAATTGTATGGCGGGTCATGAATGCTCACGAAATTGAGGGTTGGGGTACAGGAGGGGGTGAGGGCTCCAGCTGGGGGTGCGGACTCTGGGGTGGAGCCAGAAATGGAGTTCAGGGTGCGGGATGGGGATCAGGGCTGGGGCAGGAGGTTGGGGTGCTGGAGGGGGTCAGGGGTGCAGTCTCTGGGTGGCACTTACCTCAAGCACCTCCTGGAAGCAGCGTCATGTCCCCCCTCCGGCTCCTACGTGAAGGCATGGCCAGGCGGCTCTGTCCACTGCCCCAGGCATAGCTGCCGCCCCTGCAGCTCCCATTGGCCGTAGTTGCTGGCCAATGGTAGATGTGGGGGTGGCGCTTGGGGCAGGGGCAGCATGCAGAGCCCTCTGGCTGCCCTTACGTATAGGAGCCAGAGCGGGGGACATGCTGCTGCTTCCGGGAGCTGCGCAGAGCCACAGCACACATGGAGCGGGGCAAGCCCCGGACCCTGCTCCCTGGCAGGAGCTCAAGGGCCAGATTAAAACATCTGAAGGGCTAGATGCGGCCCCCAGCTTTATATATTAAACTACCATCTAATCTGAGAACTGGGCTCTCCACCTCTAGGCTGAGTCATGTTGGCAGGAAAATGCCCGTGTGCACCTGTTCTGAGGCTAATGAGGACATCAGTCTCCAGGAGTATCAAACTATTAAAGTGAAACTTTGCAATTCTTCATTTTTAAAATGGGACATTAAAAAATGGGAAGGTTGGTTTTTATTTATTTTTGTCTGTTTGTTTTGAACTTTGACATAAAATGTAGGTTTCAGAGGAAAAACACACACACACCCCAGCCTGGTCCTTCTGGCTGTGGAGCGGTGTGCTCCAGCACCCCCTGGGGATCCCTCCTCCCTGTCCCCTTTTCAGCCCGGGAGGCAGAGATAAGGCTCCCTGGGAGGCTGGGGGAAGTTTTGGGGCCGGATCCCACTCATGGCACTCACAGTGCACGGGCACCCCTGCACACGCAGCCCCAGGGAGACCTGGGAGCAAGCGACAGAGAGTGGAGCAGGACCAAGTGGCTGCCCTGCAAGGCTGGGAAGGGGCAGAGCCTCCATCTCGGCTTGGCTTGGGGAGAGATGATGTCCAACATCCTGTAAGCTTTGCTCCCTGCTGCAGGCAAATTCTGCACAGCAGCAAGGAGGAAGTTTGGGGCTGGCTCCCGCTTGCTGCCCTGACAGTGCATGCTGCCCAGGCATCCCTGCACACACAGCCTCAGGGAGGGTTGGGGGGGGGGGCAGGGCAGAGAGCAGAGCAGGGACTAAGCAGCTGCCCTGCAGGAAGGGGGGCTGCCCTGCAGGAAGGATGTTGGGGGTAATCCCTCCCCCAGCCAGGCTGAGCCGGGAGCTTTGCTGCTCCCTATCCCTGCAGGGCAGCCGCTTAGTGCCTGCTCCACCTTCGCCCCGCATCCCACCGTGCTCCCTGGGCCTGCATGTGCAGGGGCGCCCAGGCAGCGTGCACCAAAATCTGGCTGTGCTCTTGTGACCAGGAAGCAGCTCTCTTTGCAAAAAGCTTCTTCTGATCCGTCTCCACTGAAAACCTTGCAGGATCTCTGATAGTGCCCTTGCAGACTGGTGCTCAGCAGACAATGGGTTAACACTGACCTAAGCTGCTGCCCTTTGCAAATAGACTGCACCACAGATTGTTGGCATAGGCTACATCTACACGTACGGGGGGGGGGGGGGTCGATTTAAGATACGCAAATTCAGCTATGCTGTAGGGACGGCGGCAAAATCGACCTCTGGGGCTTCCCGTCGACGGCGCTTACTCCCACCTCCGCTGGTGGAGTAAGATCCCCAAGAGGTCGATTTCTACCTGCCGATTCAGGCGGGTAGTGTAGACCCAGCCATAGAGAGGACTAAGAAAGTTGCCTCAGGGAACTCTGGGATACATCCAGAGAATTTACAGAACCCAAGTCAATCCAGGTCTGTGTGCACACAAGAAAGCAACCCTAGGTCCCATCTTAACATGGGCTCAGATCCTCCAGCTCTTCATGGTCCTGGGACCCCAGGTTCAAGCCTTAGGTTAACACAATTGGTGTGTGGATGCAAGGCAGATTAGGTTAGAGCCCGGGCTCTCGCCTGTGCTTACACTGCTGTGTAGACATACTCTGTGAGTCCAGTGGTAAAGAAACTCTGTAGCTAGCTTGGATTTAACATTTCCTTTTTATGCTTCAAAACTGCTGCATATTTTGTTTGGAAAATTCAGCATACAGTTAAACAGGCGCTACGTTAATCACAGCATTTAAAAGATGATTGCTTCTGATTAATTAATACAACAATCAGTCATGCTCTATAATTGTTCCAACATGAAAAAGTAAACCAACAATCAAGCCTAACCATTCTAATCCTTCATTCCTCTTCTCTTTCACATAGTCCGGGGCCAAAATAGACTGACTTAATGTCACTTGATCAATTCATATCTCCGGAACCCAGAACATACGATTTTCATAAACCATTTCAGCAAAAGCAAGTGAACTCTTGAACCACTTCATCTATTACTGTACTATGTTGAAAGCTTAACATTCACATGTTCTCATTTGTCAGCCCCTCATGCCACTCAGAACGGATGAGTATTTTGCCAGAGTCTGTCTCTTCATAAGAGCTTCACAAGGCCATGATCATTGCGAAGATATAACATTTTTATCAAACTTTCTTCTCAGCTGTTGCTGCAGCTGCTGCTGAAAGGGCAGTGTCCAGCTGGTGATGGTGAACTTTTTGTTGCAGCTTTAAAAGGGGAGACTCTAGAGGGCATATAAAAATATACTGCATAGTTTTATTTTTTAACTTCATTTTGATAATGGTCTTGTAGAAGCATGATAATTAATTATGACTTACATTAGCTCAGGGGCACATGACACTTTGCAGATTTATAGGTCAATAAGATCATTACAGAACTTGCAATCTAGAGGTGTAATCATAGAATATCAGGGTTGGAAGGGACCTCAAGAGGTCATCTAGTCCAACTCCCTGCTCAAAGCAGGACCAATCCCCAGATTTTTACCCCAGTTCCCTAAATGGCCCCCTCAAGAACATAAGAACGGCCGTACTGGGTCAGACCAAAGGTCCATCTAGCCCAGTATCCTGTCTGCCGACAGTGGCCAATGCCAGGTGCCCCAGAGGGAGTGAACCTAAGAGGTAATGATCAAGTGATCTCTCTCCTGCCATTCATCACCACCCTCTGACAAACAGAGGCTAGGGACACCATTCCTTACCCATCCTGGCTAACAGCCATTAATGGACTTAACCTCCATGAATGTATCCAGTTCTCTTTTAAACCCTGTTATAGTCCTAGCCTGCACAACCTCCTCAGGTAAGGAGTTCCACAAGTTGATTGTGCGCTGCATGAAGAAGAACTTCCTTGTATTTGTTTTAAACCAGCTGCCTATTAATTTCATTTGGTGACCCCTAGTTCTTGTATTATGGGAATAAGTAAATAACTTTTCCTTATCCACTTTCTCCACATCACTCATGATTTTATATACCTCTATCATATCCCCCCTTAGTCTCCTCTTTTCCAAGCTGAAGAGTGCTAGCCTCTTTAATCTCTCCTCATATGGGACCCTTCCAAACCCCTAATCATTTTAGTTGCCCTTTTCTGAACCTTTTCTAGTGCCAGTATATCTTTTTTTAGATGAGGGGACCACATCTGTATGCAGTATTCGAGATGTGGGCATACCTTCGATTTATATAAGCTCTGGTCAAGTGAAAATATTCTCAGTCTTATTCTCTATCCCCTTTTTAATGATCCCTAACATCCTGTTTGCTTTTTTGACCACCTCTGCACACTGCGCGGACATCTTCAGAGAACTATCCATGATGACTCCAAGATCTTTTTCCTGACTTGTTGTAGCTAAATTAACCCCCATCATATTGTATGTATAGTTGGGGTTATTTTTTCCAATGTGCATTACTTTACATTTATCCACATTAAATTTCATTTGCCATTTTGTTGCCCGATCACTTAATTTTGTGAGATCTTTTTGAAGTTCATCACAGTCTGCTTTGGTCCTAACTATCTTGAGCAGTTTAGTATCATCTGCAAACTTTGCCACCTCACTGTTTACCCCTTTCTCCAGATCATTTATAAATAAGTTGAATAGGATTGGTCCGAGGACTGACCCTTGGGGAACACCACTAGCTACCCCCCATTCTGAGAATTTACCATTAATTCCTACCCTTTGTTCCCGGTCTTTTAACCAGTTCTCAATCCATGAAAGGACCTTCCCTTTTATCCCATGACAACTTACTTTACTTCAGAGCCTTTGGTGAGGGACCTTGTTTGAACTCACAACCCTGGGTTTAGTAAGCCAATGCTCATGTCTTTTACGTAGTGCATGG